CAGAGGCAGAACGACGATGCTGCTTCTTTTTTTTTGTTTTAATATTGTGTTTTGGTTTTAATATTTTATTTTTTGGTTTTAATTTATTGGTTTTAATTTGTTTTGGTTCCACTATGGCATTTTCAGGTGGTTTTAATTTTTTGTTTTTGGGATTTAGTTTTTTTTTTAATTATTTATACTTGAGTATAATTATTTCCACATGGCATAATTGAATTATTAAATACAAATGAAACTGCCACATCACGCTATGTCAGATAAAAAAATTCAATGTCACGCCACATCACATTTTTATCCAGGGTGCGGATAAAAAGGGACTAAATTGTCAAATTATTAGACTCAGTTTAAAAGTAGTCAATGACGGGTGGAAAATTTGACATTGACAAAGTTATAGGACCAATTTAAAAACATGCCATAATTTAAGTATGTATAATGAGGTTGTTGTTAGGTAACAAATTTAATTAATGATTAAATAATTATACTTTTTTAATAAACATATATATATTTATTTAAATAAAATATTATACCCTAAAATTAGATAATCATACGTTTTTTAATAAACATGTGTTTTTTTAAAATGAAATATCATACACTAAAAAATAACATAATCAGAAAATACAATATTTCAAAACATAAATGTATATTTTTGTGGAATAAATATGATAATATATCAAATCGTTAATTTGAGAATTTGTGATTAGACTAGGTTCGTGCGTGCACCAGTCCACTAGCTTGCATTAAGGTCATACAAAAATTCTATGGAGCCATCGGATGGTTTTTTTATGGAGCCATCCACCACTTAATGTGTTGACACCTGTTCAAATTATATTTATTGTATGACACATGTCAATACACTATTGATGAATAAGTATGGATGACTCCATAAGTTGAGCCATCCGATGGCTCCATATCAAAACTGTAATGTCATATTACAAGTGCTTGAGACATGTACTTACACTATATATATAAAAGATTTTAGAGTAATGCTATAAATACATAATATTGTACATTAAATTAATGTTATTTAAGTAATTAGAGAATACAGTAGATTTAATTATTGTATATAGAAGGTTGGCTCTATTATGGAGCCAACTGTTGGCTTCATAGCAAAACCGTTTAGTTGGAATCAATGTTATCAAAATCGGACCGGTTCGACCGGGAACCGGACCGGTACGTGTTTAAACCGCTGGGAACAAGAACCGGTTTCGAACCGTTCGAACCGGTTCAAAACCGGTACCGGTCGAACCGGTTCTGAAATTTGAAAAAAAAAAATCCAACAAAAGGAAAATAATGAGAGAGTATTTTGATGTTTGATGAATTGTAATGTTGGATTGGATATATTATGATGTTTGATGACTTTACAAACTCTATTTGTAATTTGGATTGCCTTTAGATATTGAATTATTAATCTATTATTTTAGTATTGCTTATGGTAAACCCGATTTTGCTATGAAGCCAACAGTTGGCTCCATAGTAGAGCCAACCTTCTATATACAATAAATCTACTGTATTCTCTAATTACTTAAATAACATTAATTTAATTTTATTAATATAGTAGGTTTAGTTATTGTTTATAGAAGGTTGACTCTACTATAGAGTCAATTGTTGGCTTCATAGCAAAACCGTTCAACTATATCCTTAATTCCATTATCTATTTAACCGAGTAATTTCAATTATTAGATGTGATTAAATAGAACAAAAGTCAATTTTTTTTTAAAAGAAAAAAAAATAAAATTTTCAATTATATTGTAAAATAATAATCAATAAGTGATAAGAGTAAGATTCTATTCTACACAATCACTCACACACACACACACACACACCAATATAATCAAACAATTAAAATATTAGTTATTTGAGAGCACGGCCAAAATTTGAGCACGTATATACCGCCCATGCATTGTCATATAAATACACAAGAAATAGTACCTTATCCTCAACAAACAAATACATGTTTTCATGTATATTATTATTATTATATGCTTTTTAATAGTTTAATCCTCAATCTTTGTCCGTTTTGTCAAGACATCGAATCTAATCTTTAAAAATGATCAAAAGGGTACCTTGATAATTATTGAAATGACAATTATATTGCAGTGAGATCGCAATTTTATATTTATATATATCCAATAAATAATTGTGGATAATGAGAAAAGTGTCCATATATCTCTCCTTTGACTTTGGGACAGCAAAGATTATTAGGACTTGTGTTTTGCTTAGTCTATAGTCTATACTAAACAATTTGAGGCCTTACACTTGGAAAAAGAAAATATTCACTCCACCAACCTGCTAATTCATTTGAGTAAATTACACCATCTACATAACATATCATTTTTATTTGTAAAATTACTAGATGTATGACAATAATTGTAAACTTACCATATTTTATAAAATATGATTAATTTAAAGATGAAATGAAGCGTGATTAAAGGTAGATTCTCTCTCTCTTTCCTATCTTTTCTTCTCCTTCTTCTCTCTCCCTCTCTCTGTTCTCGGTCCGCTTTTCAATAATTTCAGTAGCTAGCCCGTTCTTCATTGGACCAAACAGCCGCAACCCTTCCACAGGAGCAGACTTCACCCTTTTCAACAGCGAGCAGCGACTGTTTTCCCGTCACCGAGAGCCCGAATAGCAATACCTTCGATCGACCGAAAGTTTTCTTATTTGCGAAAGGATGTAGCGAACAACAACTATGTTTCAGTCGGGCTCCGACTGGGTTTGAGCTCAGTTTGTTGTACGAGTTCAGGCTCTTCGGTAGCTTCTGTAGCGCGAGTTTTTTGTTTCTTGGCCATGGTAATTGGATAAGGGAACGATTTGCTTGTTAGGGTTTGAAGAGATCGGTAAATGAATCGAGCTGAAGATAATTTGGAGAGGATTGGGAAGCAGAGAAAAAGGGTCATGGTGGCGAATCAATCTTGTGTATATTTTTTGTATATATTTTGTATATAAATCGAGCTGAAATTGTGGTCTAATGTGTTTTATGTATATATTTTGTATACAATGACAAGATCAATTTATTTTCTGTATGTCGTCTGTATATAATAAGTATATCTTCTGTATATAATCAAAATCGTGTATTTTATATGTATTTAGAAGATGACGTTGTTTGAGATTCAAATTTCTCATATTTCTATTTTGTATTGAAACAATCTCTTAATTAATAGACTATATAAACCTACCATATCTTTTGGTTTCTTAGTGCAAATCCGATATCCCCATTCATGCGCAATTTAAGGAACACGTTTCATATGTTTTCATTTGGTAACTGAAACTTGATTATTCACTAATAAATGTAATGCATTTGGTAGGAACGTAAATAAAATCTACACCTTGGAACAAATGCAAATATTTTAAAATCTTGTGGTAAACATAAAAATTTCTCAATTTATTTTTATTTGTAATTATGAATATCCTGGCTAGAGGTGTCCACGGGTCGACCCAGTCCGAGATCGGTCCAGATGTAACGGTATTTTAACTGAACCCTTAGCCTTTAAGGACCAGTTCAGGGTCGATATTTTTGCCTTTTTGACCCGCCAGGCCAGGCCGGGCCGGGTCCGGGTCTTCCGACGGGTAGTAGTTGTGTTTTTTTTATTTTTTATTTTTTAACACCGACGATTCAATAAAGCGCCGGGTCGGGCCAGTTCATTTGAACCGGCCCTTAGGTATAGCCAGGCTGGTTCCCGGCCCAACATTTGAGGCCCGTCGACCCGGCAGGCCAGGCCGGGTCCGTTGAACACATCTGATCTTCCTGGCCTTCATTGTTTATGAACAACTGATATATTGTTTATTTGTGTTATTGGTTTTCAAATTGCATTATTTTTAGCTGATGTCACTTTTATGAATAGTTTAAGTATGAATTTATATATCGTATGTTATTGATTTTCAAAGGAATATGGGATAAAGAGAAACATGGGCCTCAGTTGTAGATGGGCTGGGCTGGATTTGTTAGTAGTCAAACGTTGAAGCCTAGTTCAGTTCATTACTGTTCAGGCTAAATGGCCCATTTACTGGCATTGGGTACTTCCCCTTCCTCCCAATGAAAAATGAGAGGAATGGCGGGGGAGTTCCCGCCATTTTCAGTACTGGAGTGGCTTTCGGGTCGGGTCAGCGGATACCCACCAAAAACAAAAGCAGAAAGGCTGCAGAACAAGTCTCTTATTTTGCCGGTGTGCTGTAAAAGCTGCTAATGGCGTGGTGGGAAGGCGCTAGTGAGACTCGAGTACTCGTTGCCCTAGGTATTCATCTGTTAACTATGGCGTTGAGCGAGCGATTTATCTGAGTTTGACTCGATTCACTTGTTGTTTTCTAGATTTATCTGATCTCATGGTTTTGCAGATCCTTCTGCTAATGGGAACCGTCTTGGTAAATTTTTGTCTCTGCGGCATCCCAGAACAGGTAATTTCCGTAAAGATTACTTTTTGGCGGTAGCCCTAAAAGCTTTGTAATCAGGGGATGAGAATGGGGCTGGTGTAAACTATGTTCTTATTGACATGTCTTACTTGTTTTGTGTTGCGATGTTATTGTGTGGTTTAGCTTGCTTGTGTAATTGTTCTGTTCCATTTTTCTTTGATTTAATAATTTGTTGTGATTGTTTCGAATAATCATGTTACCGGGCTCGCTTTTTCCTATTGGAGTTGTTAATTGTGTAGTCGTAAGCTCAAGACGTAAGGTTTAAGGTGATTTGGTTGCGTTTGCTAGGAAATACGACGTGTTACCTCTTCAGTGATGGAGTTCTTCAGGAGCTTCACTGGTTCAAGCAATCTTATGGGTCGTGGTTCCTTGGAGATTATGTTTGTGAAGGTGAATGTGGATGCATTTTGACTTGTTGACAATATATCGTTACGTATTATGCGTTCATAGTTCATAGTAAGATTTTAGAAAGTTGAGAATCCTTGTTTTAGTTTTTCTTTGTTTGTTTGTCTTTAACAGATGGTCGCTTGTATACTGCCACGCCAGTTGATCCTGTTTTTGTTCTTCTGCCAGTCTTTGAAGAAGCTCGGATGAAGGTTTGCTATTGTTATTGAAGCGAGTTCTGTTTTGGAAACGATTTTTCCTAATTGTTTCTGTTTAGATTCTTATTGTCATTGTGTGAGTCTCAGTGTGAAGTCTAATGTGTACCTGGACAAAAAAATCAATTATAATGTGATTTCTGTGATCTGAGTAGGGATTTGAACTCTTCGAGCCTCATTTGGCATGATTATTAATTCGATACACTCTAACGTAGTACAAAGCTGGAATAGGTGTTTTTTCTGTTCTCTTTTTCATCTCGAGTGATTCTCGATTGTAATGTGTGCAGAAAGGTACAGATCCAGGGAAGTTTCGGCAACTTGATGAGATAATTTATGTTAATGGGTATCCTGGATATGAATCCCTGTCATCTGTTGCAGATAAGGCAATGCAAGTTGTTTGTGATTTGAAAGGTAGTCTACTTAACTCTTCCCTTTAAAGGTATCTGAAAGCTATATACATCCCCCCTATATATTAATACAGAATGCGCTGAGCCTACGTGGCTGCTTCTGGTGCTTCGGAATCCTATGTGGCAAAATTACATGCTTCGTTATTAGGCTTGGGTAAATTTTAATTTAATTCCAAACAAAAAATAATTAGGTTCAGATTACCATAAATATGTTGATTATTTATGGTCATGTTACATGTATTAATTGTATTTTAATATCATTCCTTATTATAACTATTGAATTGTATATATATTTTAAAAGTTAATAACTTTTATATTTTTTATCAGTTTTACATATGTAATATATCAAATTAATCTTCTTTTGATAAGCTTCGATTTAACATCCATATTGTATGTATAAAAAAAATAATTTATATTTATCTTTATAATAATAATAAAATTATTTTTAATATTAATTAGAAAAATAAAATTATCTATCAACTAATATATTTATATTTCAAGTAGTTATATGATATAAGTTATAAAAACTAATATAATATAACACATGTAAGTCATAAGTAACACATATCATTTTAAAATATATATTAATATATTTTTTTTTTTGTAAAAAAGTAAACTAAATTTAATATAATTTTCTCATTAATTTTAAAATTTAAGAATAATTTTTTAACAAGCACCTGTGTAATACACGGGTATTGTACTAGTAGGAAATAAAAACGTATTCTCGTGTTTTTATATTCCTCGAAACTGTTGCTCAACGCTGTTTGTAGATTAATTTTTTTTTTACACACATCTGAAACATTTTTGAGATGGACAACCAGTTTTATTTCATTCAGGATAAAAAAACATAATAAATTTGTGACTTGTGTCACAAATGTCAAAGTCTTGAGAGGCCCTTCCTCAATTTTCTAACTGGTATAAATTTTAGCGGAAGTCGTATAATTGGCGTTTGTTGGACATGACTTTGGCTTCATTGAGTAACTTGGTGTGTGATTTTGGCAATATTATTAATGCACCTATGCTTATATTAAAAAATGTCCGAAAATACTCATTTCCCTTTTATCTCACATTGAACAGAAGTTGGGTCGACCAAGTTTTTCAGGCTCAATGACTTGAAGGTGCTGAAGTGGTTATGCTATAAGGTTAGCCTTGATCTTGTTGCCTTTTATGTTCATCTTCTCAACAGCGTTTACTCATGCAATTGAAGATGTAGAGACATTTACATCATAAGATAACATGGTAGATCTTTCCTGTAACAATATAGATCTTTAAAATGCTCTTTTCTTGTTCGATAATAGTCATACCAGTATATATTTACTGTATCCTGATTGGAATTGTGTGTTTCTTTTGTAGGTACACCAATTGAAGCAGACACTACCGACACTGGATAAGAATTATGCTGCTCAAGATGAGAAAGATACATGTATGTTTATCAGTGAATGAGATTTTTTTTTAAATTCCGCATTCAACTTAATGAAAAGATGCCCGAAAGATCAAATGTATAAAGTACTCTTTTGCATGGAAAATTGATTTTTTCATGTTTTGCCGCGTGAAGGGTTGTATTTGACCAAACCTTGTTGTAATTCTTCACTGACTGCATCTCTTCCTGGCACAGTATTTGAGGTGGTGTCAATTATGCGGGAATACTTGAAGGATGAGCCCTGGGTGGACTTATTGTGCAACAAATTGAAGTACTGCATTTCAATATTTCTTTTTTTTTTTTTTTCGAGTAAAAAAGAGATATGTCAAATAGACATTCGAAGATGAGGCCTTTCATGGATCTAACTTCATGTAAATAAACGAAAAAAACGCAATGTCTGTGTTTCGCTAGAATGGCGTACACAAAAACAAGAGCATAAGGATGCATGCTCTCACTCGTGTACATTTCTATTAATTATTATTTCATTATTTGTTCATTTATTCTTTTGGTTCTTTTTTTTTTTGCAGCTTAAACTTACAGGACTTCACGGATCCTCAAGATATGGAAATTCTTCCACCTTCCACTGGAAGTAGTCTTGCACCATTTAATCCTAAACAGGTATATCCACAGCTGCTGTGCTACAGATGGCCATCCAGGGGGTCTATGATCGTATTTGCAATAAATAAATAAATTTGCAAACTGGGTTGTTGCTTTATAGGCCCCTATAAATTTTGAAATTGACAGGAGACATGAATCAGACTGTGCCTTCATGTTATTTTTTGTTTATGAGACACTAACTTGGCAACTTAAGCTTCAGACAAAGAATTTTCTCCCATGTAGAAATGTTTCTGATATTAATCTTTGATTCTCAGGAGAATAACGAGACAGGCAAGAGAATTACCCGGGCAACAAGGTCAAATAAGAAGGCGAAGGTGGAAAAAGATTCAAAGAATATCAAGGATATGTTCAGCAGGGCTATTAGGAAAGGATAAATATGGACTTCTGATCGTAAACGTTATAACTCATGTAAGAGTGTTACTAGACCTAGAAATTGAAGCTTCAAACAAGAAAAAATCACCTTTTGTAAAAATGTTTCTGATATCTATCGATCTCACCTCTTATTAGGAGAATAACAAGGCAGGCGCAAGAAAGTTACCTGGACGGCATGGCCGAGAAAGATTCAAAGAATATCAAGGATGTATTCAACATGACCACTAGAAGCAAAGGATTAAAGGGTCTTTGATCATGAATTAAACTCAGTTGGAATGGTTTATAGAGCTTTGTTGTAAGTAGTATTTGTGATTGATGTACGTTTTTTTGTCTGCTATTTCTAGTAAGTCTTAATTGCAGAACCGTAAGTCTTAATAATTTATTGACCGTATGAATAATTTAGATGTTGGAGTCCCAAGTAAACTTGGAATTGTCATCGACACACTTTTTAACTCGATCATATGTAGACATGGCGAACGCTGAAAATTTTGGGTACGAAAGTGCATTTTGAGAATAGTGTGAAATAGTAGAGTTGATTCCAGGTTGAATTTAATAGACTCACATGGTGTACTGTAATAAAGTGATACAAGTAAGATGTGTTTTTATGGAGGTCTGAAAATTTTGATTTATTCATGTTGTCCTTTTTCTCCCGTTTTATTATGAGCATTTTGGTTACGTACATGGCGAACAGGGAGCAATATAACCGGAAAATGTTGATTCAGTGTAAATATTGTTGGTGATAAAAACTTACCAAAAATTAAAAAAAAATAATGCGGTGAGCGTGGATCGAACAGGCGACCTTCAGATCTTCAGTCTGACGCTCTCCCAACTGAGCTATCCCCGCTATGTTCATTTAAGAACGAATAATATATAATTATCAAAGCAATGTTACATCATATAATTTGGACAATACTATGTTTGGAATTCGAAGAGGAGAAGTCCGCCACATCCATCGAGAGGAGAAATTTGCAGCGGATTATCTTGCGTCGATGGCCTCGACCATGCCAAGCGGGATACACGTTCTCGATGACCCACCCACGGGGGTTAAATGGTGGTTATTCCATGATATCCTAGGGGTTTCTGACCCTCGTAACATTATCGCCTAAGGCTTTCGCCTCTTTTTTTGTACTAAAAAAAAGAATTCGAAGGATTAGGGTGTTGTGTTTGATGTCTTATATTTGCTATTTGTTTTGTTTTTTGTTTTTGTTTTTTGTTTTTTGTTTTTTGTTTTTTTTTTTTTTTTT